TATAGCATTGCTCTCATTATCTTGTAACTGTTTTCACTAGTAACAGATTATGAGTATTTCTGATTCTCCATATTGAGAAATTAATCATAGCTCAAACATGCTAAGTGAAGATATAACTACAACAGCTGTTTGCAAATATAGAAAACCAGAACCCAAAGTGATGTAATTTGAAATACTACATAGTCAGTATTTCAAATTATCAGAATTATTTATCAGAGTTATCAGAATTAATATCAACTCCTTGGAAGGAAATATTGACTTGTTAATCTTTATAACCCTTGATGATTCTAGTTTAAAATTAGGATGGAATCTATTATTTTCTTTTTTTTTTTTTTATGTTGCAACCAATAGAGGGCAATCTCTTCTTATGGAAAGAGTGTCAGATGGATAAACTCTCTTCCTTCCCTTTCGTTATTTTGAGTGCATCATTGGAGAGTGCTGAAATTAAATACTATTGTGTCAAATTCTGACAGGAGTTTCACTGACGACAGTGAGACAATTTGCGCAAATAAGGCATATAACTTTGGCCGCATATGCACTTAATGAATTGAGGGGATCAGAAGATGATGAGTACAGTTCTTTATGAACCAAAGTAATAAGAAAGGAGAGAGTATTCTCTTTATTAATTGATACATGAAGAATTTAAATTGATAATTATTTATTCTCTGAGCTTTTGTGAATAGCTACTCTGGGATTTCACAGGTAAAAGTCTTCACAGTGATAAATGGAAAACCTCAGGAGAAGGTGAAATAGAATCCACAAAACAGAGGATTGAAAGCAAGTGTGAGTTCCTGTTTGCATAAACAGTTTGTTCTAAAGGAATCCCTGCATTATTATCAAAACTTCTGCCAACCTTGGATTCTCCCAAATTAAGGGGTACATCTTAAGATTCCCAGAAAGACCTACTGTGGTAGGTTCAACCTTGTTTTCATATCTTTTTGCAAGCAGCCATTTTTTTATTCTGTAAATTCCAAGTATGCAGAAGCTGTACAAGATTCATATTTTATGGTGGAATAATGTTTAAATTACAACCAATTTCATGTGTTAAAAAATGCATAGAGATGATGCATGTCCTGGAAGTGCCACCTTAAGGTGATAAAATATCAAACCCCTTTGGAAGTTTAGCTATGGAACTTCAAAATTTATATAAACTAAAAGATTGCATTCAACACACCAATCTGTTTTTGTCAAACACAGTGAACGATTTGGCTGTCAAATAATGATACATTAAATTAACAGGTTATTTTCAAGACTGTGGTTGCATTTCAAATGGTGTCAAGTCTGTCGACTGATTTATTGATTGATTGGCTAGCAGGAGAACCAATTGCTCAGGTGATGACAAGCTGTCAAGACTTCTCCCAGCATGCCATGGACTTGTCACGTAATCAGGGATCCTGGTTTTCTCTGTTTAAAAATCCCAAATTCTCTGATTAAAAAAACCCCAAAGTTACATTTTTCCAAGATATATATACATAGTGTTTCATTTTAATCTTGGAAAAATGTAACTTTGGGGTTTTTTTAATCAGAGAATTTGGGATTTTTTTATATATATATATGGGCAGGCAGGCTGGGAGAAGTCTTGACAGCTTGTCATCACCTGAGCAATTGGTTCCCCTACTAGCCAGCTGAGATATATATATGTGTATATATATATATATGTATGTATGTATCAGTTGAACACAATATTTTATTACTATATTTACAATTTTAAAGCAATTTGTAAGCCTACCAGTGTTTCAATCATTAGAATAAAATACATTCTAAGTACCGATACATTGTGGTGTTTGATTTTGATTTTGTTTATCATGGGAAATCACAGCTCCCCCTGCACCCTTTATTCACGAGGACACGGGTCCAGCTGCGGCTGTCCCCCCAACTCCAGCTGCTTTGTGGTGCTGAGCAGCTGTGATATGCCAGTGCCCTTCTCCTGCCCATGCCATTGCCTCTCACTCCCAAGCCACAGCCCCCCAGCCATGCTGGTGCCCCTCACTCCTGACCCACAGTCCCCTGGCCCTGCTGGTGCCCCTCACTCCTGATCCACAGCTCCCTGCCCCCCAGAGGGGGATGCCTGTAGCACCCCCTGCCCTGGGCTGGGGCTTCCATGCTGCATAGGTGGCCTGGCCATGGCTCCCCTCCAGGCAGCAGCTCTTGGCTGTCCTGCCCCTGAAAGCATGGGCACCAGCCCTTGGCATTACTGGTCCAACCACACAGCTCCCTGCTGCCCCCAAATAACCCCCTTGCCCCTTCCCCCAGTGGAGGGCAGGTGCTTTCGGGCAGGCCCCACTGGCAACAGCATGGATCTGGGCTCACCAGCAGCACTGAGTGCTGCCTCTGTCCCCCTGCCCCATCACTGACCTCCCAGAGCCTGGACATCTTTCCTCAGGACTGGCAGGTACTTGCTCTCTCCCTTCCCCGGCCTTCCACACCCCCATCCCCTTCACACATCCCTGCCACACACACATGCCCCACACTGCACCCCAGACAGTCCCCAAATCCTGGCCCTCCAACCCCCACCATAGACTTACCTGTATCCAGCTGCTAGGGTTGCTCCCACCACTCTACCTGTCTGTAAGCTGGCCACATGTGTGTGCATACACACACATGTGTGGTGCCCCCTGCCTCCAATTGCCCTCCTGCTGCTCCCTCTGCAGCCCCAAGCAGCTTCTTGCGGGCTGGAATGGGAAACTCAAGGCTTTTGGCGGTTTTCTCCTTTGAAGGAGAAAATCTGAGCTTTTCTGAAGGAAATGGAAAACCCAGATTCCTGCTCATAACTGACCAAATGAAAAGAACAGGCCATAATGGGGCAAACATCTGATGAAAGCTAGTGGCTGGGTGATTGTGGCTTATTTGTATTCAAAGCCATTTGCTGTAATCCATATAATGGGAGTTGTTGAAGAAAGAAAAGTTTTTCATGAGAAAAAAAGAGTTACATTTTATGAAATTACCTGGTATGTTTTTTAATCACAGAGAGCAGGTACTGTCTTACTAATTTATTTAAAATCTTTATGAAAATGTCTTTGGTTTATAGAGTGTGTTTATAAAAAATGTGAATTTTGGGCCATATTGCTCCTTTTGAAATACCTTGATAGAGGATCTGGGAAACTTTGGTAAGTGACTTCACAATTACCCTTGTTATAACAGACCCTTAAAATGCTTTGCCTGGGAAACAGAATGTTAGGAAAAGGGGAGAAGAGGGAAGGGAATGTGTAATGGAAACTATTTAATCTAAATGACAGATGATTGTCATTCTGGACATTTAAAGGCACAAAAATGACCACACACTTATTAACAGAAACATAAGACTAGCTTGCATCTGACAGAAGCCTGCGGCCTAGCTGGCTAGAAGCTCTCTGGCTTTAATTTGAGTACTGTACTCCATCCACAGGATTTATGCATGAGAACTGTGTCGTTAATGCTGTAGACATTTCATATTTTCTGACTGTTCCCTGAGATATATGAATGCATGCTAACTGCTCTCTAGCTGGTAGGGCATATCAACATGGCCTTCTCTGAATCTGCACTACAGGTACAGCAGTCCACAGAATGACTGGCAAGGGATCCCTCATCCCTTCTGCAACCCTTTTTCAAGAGGGCTGTTTTAAAGTGTGAAGACCATTGTTTTGGCACTAATCTGAAAACCTTTTCCCTACTCCTAATCAAATTCCCCACTAGCCTAAGGCCAACAGGAATGCAGGTAGGGGCAGGGTGGGGGTGGAAGGCAGGGGCCCTCGAGAAGGGACAACATCTATATTTAAAATGAAGTGGGAGGTTCTGATTGCTTTTGGTCACACCAGTGCTATTCAAATGTAGCAGCTCTACATTTGGTGGAGTGCTATTGGGTGAACTGATTTTCTAGGCTGTGATGGGGCTTTGTAGCTTTGATACAATTACTTGCAGAGACATACTCTGCTTTTGTTTGGGTGCGGTAGGTTTAAGGGACCTACTACCTGACCCTCTCCCCACAACTTTAATTATTTAAAGTAATAAATATTAAAGAACATTATTTAAAATATTGCATCAATCATCTGCCATTACATTGTAGCATGCAGATGACCCTGAATATCCATTCCCTATTAGCTCACTTCAGCTGTCACTGGTGAAAGGAATGCCACAATACTGATCTGTATTTCAAACAAAGTTCTCCCTTGCTCCTACCATTATCTACTTAGCTAGTCTTCATAAAAAATGCTCTTTAAAAGCATATAGGTTAGGCCTTGAGACACTAGTTCCATACTAGCATGGATTGTGAGCATTTGCAGTTTACAGAGAAAATGAACATGGATGGGAATGTTCTAGGCCTGCTTCCCCATTTGTCTATTGCTTGTTAGGAATTAGTCTTCTGTTCTTTTTCTTTATTTTTCCTTTTCTTTCCTTTTCCTTTTTGTTTGGTGCTATGGTGCCTAAAAATAGAGTGGATTGGAATTTCCTTCCTCTTTAGGCCTTTATTATTCAGGATACTAGAAACTAACTTGAAATTCTGAAAATCAGAAAGAACAAGTTGCCTTCTTGCTGCCTTGTGCTACTCCTTTTCCTATTCAGTTTGTTAAGAAAATAGAGAACTTTACAACTTTTACATTATGCCAGACAAAATGTAACTGGAAATGTTGCAATGGACTAGGATCCAGCACAGAAATACAGATATACAGCTATATTACAGTCTCAGAGGCTGACTGACAACATGGGAATTAGCTTCCAAATAGTCATGGAAATGGAAAACTACAGATAACAGCATAAATCCACATGGTATGAAAAAGCCTACCATTCCACTAGCAAAAGCACTCTATCAAAAGCATCTAAAACCACTGAGAGAGCAAGCCCAGCAACTTCTTTGTGCTTTGTGTGCAGAAGTTTCAGACTCTGTACGAGCAAACAACATAGTCTGAAATGGCAGGGGTGGAGGAAAAGGATCTGACCGAAAGCTCATGCAAAACAGAGACTGCCTCTAATTACGAGAAGCAATCAGGACACTATTGTCAACCTACCGTCTATTGGATTCTTACCTTTTTGACATCCCTGACTAGATGATACAAAGTGTTGGATGGTCCATGTCTCTGCAAATGACAAATAAAGAGGAATCAAACAGTTTAGCCCTGCACAGAGGCTATGTGTAAGATGTAACTGTAAATACTTAAAGATACATCTTTGATGTAAAGTTTAGTAGTTTAAATAACCCTTCATTGACTCAATGTTATCAGTTCTTTTCAAATAAACTGAAATAGCATTGTTTCATCCAACACCCATACAGGTCACTTGGAAAGTTCCCATACTTTCCCTCCTCAGTAAAGGAACATATCCCAGTTTTGTATACTCAAAGAACAAGCTAATAAAAAGATGCACAATGGCAGCACAAGCTGAATTAAATCTTTGGGTGGTTTATATTTTGGAGACTCCTTGGCCTTTGGCAAGCACAAATATGGAATATGTGCCCATGTAACACATCTGAACAATAGGCCATACCTAATGATAGTATGGTTTTGAGAAGTACTGGGGCCAGAGAAAGATTTTTTGGAAAAGACCTCATGATATAAGGGATTCATAACAAAGGGCTGTCTCTAGTTTTAGTGCACCTAAAAGTTTTCAGTTTTCTCGGTGCTTTTTGGCAGGCAGTCATAAAGAGGATGGTGGAAGCCTTCATATGGGAAGTGTTGCAAGCAATTACAGCTGTGCTTGAGTTTTTCTTTGTGGCTATGGGAGCTAGAAACTTTATTTTTTTAATGACATATTGGATTGTTTGAGTTAATAACCTGTTTTCACGTTGGATCTTTAAGAAAAAAAAAGTCACATCAAATGTTGTTAAACTGGCCATTAAAACATGATAGTTGGTAACAGTGTACGAGAAGCCTCCACCCATCTAGTGGAAATCTAAGAGCTGGCACTTTTAAAAGAATTACTGTGTTGTTTTTATTATAAGTCAATCTTGTCCATAATGGTGGTAGTGAACTCTGCTTGAATGGGGAAAGGCCACAGTAGCTGGGTGCCCCAGATGGCCAACATCCATAGTTCCTGGGGATCCAGTGGTTTGCTCCACTGTAGTGGGAGGCAGGTGGGGTAGGAGTTCAGGAGCCTTAAGAGCTGTATGGTAAGGTAAGTCTTCTAAGTCTCTGGGCTGCTCTGAAGGAAGCTTTGGAGCCTTGGATCCCCAACTCTGAGGGTGAAGTTACACATTACACTTAGATCATGCTATGGGTACTTAAAACATGAGCATCCACATGTTAAAGTTCATTAACTCTTTCTAAGTGTCCTCTGAGTATCTCAACAGGTGTTTATAGATATGCTCCTGGAGGCACTGGGGCACTTTAATTAGCAAGCAGAGCTAATTAAAAGTACCCAAGTGTCACATGTATCAGCATCCACATGCTGAAAAAATGGTGAAAGGGTGTTTTGAACTAAAGCTTGTTCAGCTAAACCCATTTTTCAATGTGACACTGAAGGCTGCTGGAGTATGTTAATTTCTGTCCACCAACAGATTCAATTAATCAAGTCTGCTCCAATGCACTGGATTTACAGTGTTTCGAGTAGCCTCCCTGAATGTGTGTAAGTGCCCAAATTTACGACACTCCAGGAGAGGGTTAACTCGGGGCTGTGTTCCAAGCTCATGTTAGGGTAACTTCATTCTGCTCCATGAAAATAAAATGAGCAATTTGCAGACTTCCAGCAACCCAACATGCACTGCTCCCATTCCCCACCCCATCCCCACCCTTGATAAATCAGGGATAAAGTCCAGACATCCTGGCTGCTAGCCTCTGCCTGCCTCTAGTAGCAAGTCAGAGCTGTGAAGGCAAGAAATGGTATCAACCCTTAGCATGCAACTGTTCACAGCACGGTCTAACTTCAACATTCAATAGATTTAGTATATTCTAAGTGTCACATGTAACTTCACCCTGAGGCAAGTCATCACTGAAGCTGCAGAGCCAGGAAACAACTCGCAAGGGTGAGCTGACAGGAAATCAGGCAGAACTGGATATACTTATGAGGCAGGGATGTCTAAAACACTCCAAATAGGTTTTCTTTATTTATATTTGTTTTACAGGGGACCCTACGTTTATCATTTGAAAAAGACCAGCGATGCTGAAAATTTCTAACACCCAACTAAAAAATGTTTGAGTTTAAATTTAAAATATTTAAAAGACAACAATCTGATCCATTCTTTCAAAACACAAATTAAATGAATGTGCTTTGCTCACATTTTTTTAGGAGAGGTCAAATCTGAGAACTGGAGAAGTCAAACTAGAAACATGCATGTACTCATGATGTCAATACAGCCATTCCATATTCCTCAAAGAATTAAGGGAAGTTGGATTTTGAATTACTAAAGCTAGGCCTGTTGGATCCAGGACTTTGGCTTTGTATGTCATATGAAGCTTGAATCCAGAACAGTAATTCACATCTGGCCTTTTAACAGGCATCTGCTTTTGTTTAAATCTGTGAACATTTTCCTTTTAACTAAAAATATTTGTTTTATTATGCAATGACATGAAGTTTAGGCTGAAGACAATATGGTGGGCCCTAGGCAAAGTGACCTTTGATATAAAGAGTGCTTTTTATTTTGGATTTTCTTGACCTTTTGGGTTTTTTCCATAGTTACTTGATTCTTCTGTGGGATTCATTAAAGACAGGAGCAGTTCAAGCACTTTATCTGTAGTTACTGACTTATATTTCACAAAAAAGGTGCTTTTTCTTAAAATTGAACCTGAAAATGTGGGATTAATTTATGTGCAGGGAAGAATACATTAAATACAAAGAACAGTTTTTGAAAACCAAATATTCTCTCATCTTTTTGTACCCTTTGGAGTCACATAGTATTGTTCCACAATTCTCTAGCTTGCCACAATATCCTCCCAACCATCAGGCAGCCCAACCCGAAGGTCTATCATGCTGAACTACAACTCCCATCAGGCAACAGGTATTTTCTGCAGTTTCAGTGGGGTGTATTTAATCATATTACAGGGTGTCTGTACAGTCAACATAAGCAAGCAAGATATGGCTTGTCCTCATTGCAAGAAGTCAAACCTGACTTGTGATGTAAGAAAATGGGAATTCATTTATAGAGAGAGCATTGGCTGTGCTGCACTTCATTGTGCCATGACAGTGTGAGTGAGGTGAAACAAATGAATGAACAGATAGAAAATTTGCCTTAGCTAGGCCCTACCGTATTGTACAATTCCTCTAGTCGGGAGATGGTGAGAAAACGATGCATGCTTACTCCATTCTCTATGAGCAATTTCACAAAATCCACTCTGTCCAACACGAGGGCATCCAGCATGGCTTGCTCAAGGGACCCTACCTGTGAAGCAAGCAATTCATTCAGCTTGTGCCTACAGGGGTGGTATAGCTGCACCCCACTTTTGGACCAAGTGAGGGAAGCTGCAGCCAGGGACTATTTTAAAGTTCCCACAGCAGGTAAGAACCCACTCCTCTTGGCTTGGCACCCCTTCCCTTCTCCATGCTCAGCACTACCTCCCCTCCCCTTCCATTCCCTCCCTTTCTGTCCTCCATTGTGGTTGCCCCCAGCTCCAGGGCTGCTCTTGTCCCACTTCAACTGGGCTGTGCAGGGAGCTGGGATTAGCCAGGGACAGCAATGATGGTGGGCAGCTTGATCCCCTTGTGTGTTCCCCACCAGCCTAGGAATAGGTGCAGGAAGAGGGAACCCACACTCCACTGCTGCTGTCCCTAGATAAGCATAGCTCCCTGCACAAGTGCTCTCTGCAGCCCTGGATGGAGCAGGACAGGAGCCGCCTGGATAGCAGTGGTAGTTAGTAGATCTCCCCTTCTTGGGCTCAAAGGCATAAGTAGAGAGGGAGGCAGGGACCTGACAGTGGGGGTGTGTAGTCATCCCTGCAGTGCCGGTTGCTGTTTCTGCATCTGCCTTTTAAAAATCCTGGATCTGCCTATGCATGCCTATACTTTTAGAGGACAACCCCTAGACAGTGCTGCCATTCCAGCATGGTTATACAGCTTCAACATAATTCCTTTACCATGTTACATTTTAGGGAATTTTAATTCATTTTGGTTTCTCTCATTCAAATCATGAATGGAAAAATGAACACATCAATATGATATGATTAACACACATGGATAAATCCAGATTAGGACCTATGAATTAAAATGCTCAGAGCCCAGCACCTAGTGACCAG